ATCGCCGCTGCCCGCTCCTGCACCTGCACGCTGCCGCCGCCGCCGGCATGCCCCCGACTCGACAGGACAGGCTGGCCGCCAGCCAGGCTGGCAGCCCGCAGGCCGGCGCGGAGCCTACCCGCTGTGCCGCCATGGCTGTGTGCGTGCAGGGCGCGGCGGGAGGCCTGGAAGTGCTCTCCCGTGCCGCCAGCTTGCAGCAGCCCTCTCCCGAGGGCCCGCCGCCCGGCAGCAACGCCGCCACCGGCGGCCAGCCCGCCGCGGCGGCAGAGGCGCCGGCCGCCGGCCACGCGTGACACGCCGCGGTGGCGGCCGCCCCCCGCGCCGCCGCTTGCGCGACTTTAGAGGCGGCGTTGCCTCCCGAGAGCGCCACCCCCTCACCTCACTCACAACCAGGACCCCTGCACCCTCCCACCCACCTTCGTTTGCCAAGCCACCCGCACGCGGCACCGACACCGCCAGCCTGCTAGCCCAACACCACCAGCCTGCTCGCCGTGCTCCTCCTGACCTCACCGTCTGGCATTGCCACCGTATGCGCTCGCTGCTCTGCCTTTCCGCACTTGGTGTTTTGCCATTCCTATGTTTTCTCTCTCTACCTGCCTTGCTTACACAACACAAGAATTGGGGTTGAAGGGTGCCCTGTGCGGACCCAGCATTCTTCTCAAGTCTTCCTTTCTCTATTCCCTCCTGCCTGCCCCATCCCCATGGCCTGGAAGCCCTCGCCTGGCCTGATGCGCCTTGCCGCTGCCGGCCCCACTCCACGACACCTGCCTACCTGTGATGCTTCCCTGTCTACCTCTCGTACCATGCCGCACCGCCATGTGGGTCGGCGGCTACTACATTTGTATGTGTCTCTTTCTTTCTTACTCCTGCTGTGCACGCGTGTAACATGTGTGTGCATGTGGCTTGGCGAAAATGTGGGCGCTGCCGGCACCAACGGCATACAGAAAGGGCAGGGACGCGGCGAACGCCACTGGCAGCCATCCTGGGTCCCGCTCCTGCTGCCGCCCCGCCTCAACTCCCTGCGCTTGCCGCGGCTGCTGCCCCTGCTGCTCCCGCCCCTGCTGCTGCTCCTGCCCCGGCTGCTCCTGCCCCTGCTGCTCCTGTCCCTGCTGCTGCTCCTGCCGTTGCTGCCGGCAGCGCAGCAGCCGGCTGTCCACCGCCTCCTGCAGCTTGCGCGGGTGGTTGGTCACCACCGCCTCCACGCCCGCATCCAGCACCGCCCGCATCATCCCCGCCGTGTTGGCCGTCCAGGCATGCACCTGCCGGCGGCGGCGGCGGCAGCAGGCGGCGCGAGGGAGGTGCATGTTGGGGCGCCTGGGTAGGCGGGGAGGGCTGCCGGGCCGCTGCCAATCGGGCGCGGCTGAGCAGCGGCGGCGCCAGCGCTGGTTGGGCAGCGCCCTCCACACGCCCAGGCTGTCAACGCCGAAGCGCGCCACGCCTCCTCGCCACTCCCACCCACCTACGCACCCACGCCCACCTGCTTGCCCGCGCCCCGCGCCTGGGAGGTCACCCGTGGGTCTGAGGCCATGGCATAGTGCAGAGCCACCACCTCGGCCGCAGGCATGCGCAGCAGGTGGTGCATGCCCGCGGCGCGCGCCGCCGCCGTCTCGTTCACCACCACATACCCCACCGCCTGCCCCGGCTCCAGCTCCTTGACCAGCCGCACCTGCACAGCACACAGATGATGCGGTGTGAGCGGTTGTGAGTGGGTGGAGGGTGCCCGGTGGCGGGGTGGGCGGGGACGGCACGGTGCCAGCGATTGTGGGGGAGGGTGCCCGGTGGTGGGCCTGCCAGGCGTGGGTGTGCACTGCTTGGCTGTGGTGGGCGAGCGAGGTGGGCACAGGGGGTGGGATAAGGGCAGGCGCAGGCGCGTGGCGGCCGGCAGCAGCCAAAGCATGCCATGCCAGCCAGCGCCAGCAGCAACACATGCAACACCAGCAGCTGCAGCAGAAGTAGCGCCAGTGTGCAGCTGCAGCAGCAGCAGCAGGAGGAGATGCATGCCACCCCCGGCAGCCCTCTCACCACAGCGTCCGACTTGGCCCACACCAGGCACTGGGTGCAGGCGGTGCGGCGCACCAGGTCCACCACTGCCTGAGCCATGGAGTCCTCATCCACATCCTCCCCAGCCTGGAAGGAGAACAAGCAACCCCGCAAGCAGACAGCTGGGCAGCTTCTCCCGGCTCTGCGGTTCCCGGCTGCCTCGCGCGGCTCCCGGCTGCCCTGGCTGCCACCACACGCCTCCCCAGCCTGCCTGGCCCACACCGCACTCCGCCGCCACATCAGCGCACCTAGCCTGGCCATGCATCTCCCCCCGGATAGGAGCGCCCACCTGGGTGTGCGTCTTGACGTCCAAGGTGACCTGGTCGATACCAGGCAATACCAAGCGTAGTACCGCCTCCACCAGCTCCACCCCCTGCCCGCCCTCCCACCGCAGCCGCTGCAGCTGCGGCCAGGTGAAGTCGCCCACCTGCGGTACCGCCTGCCCCTGGCTGCCAGCTGCCGCATGGGAGGCGGCACGGCGGCGGCGGCTGCGGCTGCTGCCGCCATTACCCGCGGTGCCGTCGCCGCCGGCCAGCTGCAGCAAGTGTGCCAGCTCCCTGGCGTGCAGCACCACCAGCTGGCCGTCCTTGGTGCGAGCGACATCCACCTCCACGCATCGCGCGCCGCCCGCCAGCGCGGCGGCAAACGCGGCGGCGGTGTTGGGGGGCGCGGCGGTGGCGGCGCCGCCGTGCGCGCACACCCGGGGCGCGGGCAGGCCGCAGAACTCTCGCGACGGCTGCTCGTGCAGAAGCTGCAGCTCACGCTCCACATCACGCCGAGCCTCTTCAGAAGCCGCCTCCTCTGAGCGCAGCTGCGGCGCCCAGCGGTAGAGCAGCGCGGCCGCCGCCAGTGCCAGCGCCAGGCCGCCGACGGCCAGCAGGCGGCGGCGGCGGCGCCGGGCCGCGGCTGGTGTGGGCCTGCCCGCAGGGCACCTGGAATTGCAAGGCAAGGGAGAGGGAAGGGTGTGGCGACAGGGAGCAAGTGTGGAGAAAGGAAGCAGGTGCAGGCGGTGGCGGCGGCGCCTCAGCCCGCTGCTCACCGCTTGGCTTGGTGCTTGGCGGGCAGCAAGGGCTGCCGGCTGTCAACGCCGCCAAACATGACGCCGCGCCCGGCAGGCTGGAGGCTTGCGAGGCGACGAGGCTGAGAGCGGCACCTGGCTGGCGCCGCCCGCCGCCACTACAGCGGCCTTGCGCGTGTCTGAGCGGGGCCACCTCTCCCTTCTTCTACCAGCATGAAGGCGTCTGGTCTAGTTTTCTACAGCGGGAGGCGCAGCGCAGCAAGCTGGGGGAGCTGAGTTTCTGTGCGATTCTCTATTATGCTTGGGGCTGGTGGTTTGGGGTTGTCAAGCGTGCACAAGCACGCGTGATCGCCCAGGAGCGCTGGTTCAGAGGCCCGTACTTGTAAGTGTACTGCGACAGCTGGCGAAGGGCGAGGGTCACCCCCTCAAAGCAGGTTCGCCCATGCCTAAACAGGAGGAGTCTGCTGGGCATGACATGGATTGCAGTCATAGCCGGGGGAGTCGGGAGACAGCAGCAGCACACGCGGGGGTCCGACCCAGGCGTGTGCGGGTGGCCAGATGTGCGGGTCGAGGGAAAACGCTTGTGATGCTGTTTTGTGATGTGCACATGACTGGGCCACACGGTGGGATGGAGTTTTACGAGGTGCATACATACATAATATTAAACACATTCTGTGCAAGAATTCCGGTTGGCAGGATGCGTCGGTCAAAACTGAATGAGGGGGTCACAATGGGTTGCGGGTGCAAATCAGGGTGTAGCAACGGTTGCGAGCATGCTGGAAGCTGAGGGATGGGAGGGGCGCCGGCCCACCCCAATTTCGGGATGCGGCCGGGCGAGTGTGCGGTGCCGCCGCTCAGTCGCGTGGGCTGCGGGACGCAGCCCCAGCCAAGGCACAGGATGTCAGTGACCGCCGCCGCTGTCGCTGGCAGGCCGCCAAGGCAGGCTGCACAGCGGGGTCTGCTCACTTTGATCTGGCGTCTTACTAAAACGGTCTAAGAGGGCAGAGGGCGGGAGGCAGCAGCAACCTGCCGTAAGTACATGCGGGACGGCTGCGTGCCCAAATGGGTTTCGAAACTCTGGCAGGTGCCGACAAACCCCACAATTTCGCTTCTCTGTAGTCTCTAAATAGGATAGAATAGTTAGAACGCTGTCGGAGCACCTGCAGGAAGCCAGAGCAAGAGGTCATGGCCAAGGTCCGCGCAGGTGTGGTGGCAGCCCGCCTTCAGGCTAGGAGAACGTCCCACCGCAACCGGCGGTTGTCACGCAAGCCGGCAGGCTGTGCATGCGGGGCCGGAGGGTGCTCTGCGGAGTCTCGTGCAATCATGCCTTCCTGTCCCCACCTGTAGGCCTCCATCATTGCTGGAATGGCCCCAGACACTCCTCCGGAGGGGATGATGCCCGTGGAATCGCCGCCGCAACTGGGCCTCTGGCATCGGTGAGGGCTGCGGCGGCCCCCCCTTGCCCCGTGCCCGTTTACGCAGCCGCCCTGCCGCCCTCGTGCAAATGGCAGCCCTGCGTGCTCACCCTTGCCTGAAAGACTTCTCGACACACTCCACTCGTCCATTGCTTCGAGCAGGATACTGAGTTCAGGTCATCCCATCAGGGCTGAAGGACGACGGTGTCCATGACGGCGGCGAGTTCCCATCTCCTCCTTGCCCACCGCCTGCGTGCTCTGGCCATGCCCACCACCTCCCTCCACCGTGCCCCTGTCAGCGAGCCATGCCACTGACCCACGGGCGCCCTACTCTTCTCGCCATCCCCTTCCCACCCCCTACCGGTCTGCCTTCATCCCTCGCTGCGCCCATGGGCCACCCTGCCCCGCCCTGCCCCGCCCTGCCCTGATGCCGTTTTGCCAGCTGCCATTGTGCCTGCGCCCCACAGCCATCAACCCTACTGCCCCTACTGCTGCTGTAGACCAGCCCAAGCTGCAAGCGCAAGGATAACAGCAGGCTGAGCGCCCCAACTGCGCATGGTCGCGCTGTGAACAAGGTGAAGCACCATGTCTGGGCCGACATCAAGCACTCGAGGCTGTCGCCGCCCAATGCTGCCTTTGCGCAGCTGGCTGTGAGGCGGGCTGGGGCGTGAGTGCTTGCCTGGTCAGGGGTAGCAAGCTGGCTCTGACTCTTGACTCTGTTAATTCCTCAGAGCCGCCCACCATCAGTAGCCTGATGCACTGGCTGACACACACTTCTGTGTGTGCCTGCAGCTGGAGCACGGCCAGCAGCATGGCCTGAAGAAGGCGCTACCGCATGATGATCAGTTCTTCCGCCCCTTATACCAAACGTGTGAAGAAACTGTGGGCCACTACAGCAATGTGAGGGTCAGCCAGTTTGCTGATGCTGCGGTTGCCTTCTCCATGCATGAGTGGCAGCTTCGCACATGCGCCCCACCCACTTTCACCTTTGCTCCACACCCCCAACCACGACCTGATGTGCCATCCCCTGTGCTTGATTATCTTACATCAACAGCTCCCCTGCGGGTACGCAGGGGTACTGCTGGTACCATGTAACGCAACACATGTGCGCAGCGAGCGCCGCACTGCGGCGTCGCTGGCCAGCGCCCAGCAGCACCAGCGCCGGGCAGCGTTCTGCCAGCGCTAGTGCTAATCAACCTCGCTGATCAGCGCTGGTGCTTTTTAGCGCTAATCAGCGCTGCTGGAAAGCCCAGATGTACCACCCGTGGGGGCCTCCCTGCTGCCTCCCAGCGCAGGAGAACATGCGAGGGCGACTATGTATCCAAAGAGAGAGCCGGGACAGGGAGGGGGGTGGGCGTTATGCCATCACTTGTTGCTGCCGCCGCCGCCTTCCACAACCGCCTGCTGCTGCCACACACTGGCTCCTGGCTGCGGCTCCAGTGCAGCCCGACGTACATGTAGTAGAACGAGGGGTTGCCTGTCTAAGTCATTGTGCCACAACGAGAAGCAATTCACATCCCAGCACACAGCCGTGGCGCTACCCACCATCTGGTGCATGCCAGAGGGTCGTCCCACCCCGCGCCCGGGCCGGTGGGCCGCAGGACTGTTCACCACACCGCAGCACTGATCCCCGCCAAGCCTGCAGGCGCGTAAGCGTCTGCACTTTGTCAGGGACGCGGTAGGGCTTGTGTGTACCTACTGATAGGAACCTGGTGGATCAGCGGGAGCACTTCACTGCTGCTCCCTCACTTAGATGGCATCTGCTCGTTCGTGTTGGGTCGGCTGCCGGCGCCAGCAGGACTGCAGTGCTGGCCGCAGATGACTTTTGGCTGCAAATGCGTCGGAACCTGACCTCCCCCTGGTTGACTCCCACCTCAGCATGTCTCCCAAGCAGAGCCGACAGGCGGCAGCTTCCTGTACAGGAGGAGGTACATGTTGACCGGCCATGCAAGCGCGCTTGGGCAGGCTACAGTCTAATACTCGCATGGGGACCACCCGAGGGCCTTGGGGCGCCGCTCTGGCTGTCGCCCTGATGGTGGCTGTGCTGCGCGGACCCACATGCGCGGCCCAGGCACCTCCTCCTCCGTGGACCGACCCTGTGGTCGATGCACCAACTAATGAGGGCCTTGGGCCGCCGCAGCGGCTGAATATCTTTGGGAGGACGGGCTACTATGCGCTCGCCAAGCAGCCAGTGGCTGGCACAGTGGTGCGCTGGACTCTGAGTGCTGTGCAGGCGGGGTGCAATGGTCCAGCATCCAGCCGCCGAGGCTCTGCGCCGCTGCCGCCACCCGCCGCCCACCTGCCGCCGCCGCCACCTCGCAGGTGCTCATACACGGCTGCGGCCGCGAGGCGCGTTCTTTCTTCCCTTACGACCCAGTCAACTGCCCCGAGTGCACGGGTGAGGCGGCAGGCTGCCTGCTGCCACTGGTGCCACCAAAGCCCTTGCCGCCGACAGCCTCGCGCCCGCCCCACTGCCAGCCTCACCACCTGCGACCCACCCACACGCGTGCACACACATACATGCGCACACACACACTCACCTACCACTGCTCCGCCGCCGCCACACAGGCCTGCCAGAGCACGTGGCACAGGCCAAGCAGGCGCTTGCCCGTGGATACGCCGTGCTGGCGCCGGCTCCCGCCGACGGCGGCAGCCGCTGCTGGAGCTCCTCCACCAAAAACGGCCGCCAGGACGACCGCCCGCAGGCGAGCCCCGGCCGCCCGCGCCGCTGCCGCCTGCTCCGTGCTGGCCTGCCTGATACCGCACGCTCGCTGCTCCTCAGCTGCCACCGCCCCGCGCGGCATTCGCTCGGGGCAGGGAGCGCTCTGTGGGGCCGTGCGCACCGTGCGTTCGCCCTGGCGCACCGTGCCGGCACGGCATGCCATGCCAGCCCTTGCCACACCTGCCTGCGCCTCCCCTGATACCTCCCCTGCAGGTGGCCGCCACGGTGGTCGACTTTCTGTCCAACCACAGCCTGGCGGGGCTGCCCGTCTTCTTCCACGGCTTCTCCTCGGGCGGTACCATGTCCCTGAAGCTGCCGGGGTACCTGCACGACTGCTGCGGCGAGGGCAGGGAGGAGGGCGAGGCGCCGGGGCCCGGCGCGGGCCTGCGCATAGACGGCATCGTGTCGGTGGACGCGGCGCCGGAAGGCGGCTTTGGCGCGGAGGACGAGGAGGGCAGGTTCAAGCTGCCCAGCTTCCCGCCCACGCTGTTTGTCGTAATGGAGGTGAGGCCTGGGCGCGGGAGGCTTGGCGGCTGGGAAAGGGCCTCCTGCCTGGGCAGCGGGCGCCTGGGCATCGGCCGCCTGGTGGCTGCCCGGCAGCCGCTGGCATGCATGCATGCGTGGGCCTGTTCCGGCTGGCACCGGCTGCCCAGCTCACCAACCCCCGCTGGGGCACGCTGGGGCACGCCGCGCCCGTGCAGCGCGGCAAGTCGCGGCAGCGGGCGCCGCCGCAGATCGAGATGCTGCAGGACGGCGGCGTGCCGGCGGAGATGATTGTGGTGAGGGCGGCGCTGGGCCGTGGCGGTGCAGCAGGAGCATGGCGGCGGGGGCTGGGTGCGATGGGTGGCTGGGGGCCAGCACCTGCACCTCCCTCCCCACGCCTCCACCTGGCCGCCCTGCCCCTCTCAATTGTCCCACCCCCCTCCCACCAGCGACACCTGCCCCGCCTGCCCCGCAGTCCCCGCCCCGCGCCGTCGGGCCTACCTTCTTCTCCGACCGAATCCCCACCATGAGCCGCCGCCAGAGCGAGGCGCTGGCGGGCGCGCTGCGGCAGATTGGGCTGCTGGATGCGCAGGGCTACCTGCTGGCCAGCCCCATGGACCCAGGCTTCGTCAACACGGTGGGTGTTGCCGCCCGGCTGGCGCCGGCAGCGGTGGCGCTGCCGCCGTGTGCTGCGCCTGCCGCCGCCGCCGCTCTGCCGCCGCTGCCTGTAACCTCTATGGCCCTTGTCCCTGCCCTGCCCTGCAGAACACCAGCTCCGAGGCCTACCAGTGGGGCTCCCGGGTGCAGGCCCTGCTGCCGTGGCTGGCGGGCGAGGCGTGGGATGCGGTGGTGCAGGAGGTGTGGGTGGCGTGGGGGGAGCACGAGAACCTGGGGGACTACGTCACCGCCAGCCTGGCGTGGCTGGAGGCGCAAGGGGATGCCGACCTGCCGGCCCTGCTGCAAGCCCTCACGGTGGAGAAGCTGGCGCAGCTGACCGCGGAGCGGCGGCCGGGAGGCGGCGGCGCGCCCGCGGGCGCGCCCTCGCCCTCGCAGCCGCCGCGGTAGGCGCCCCGCCCTGTATCACGGGCATAGGCGCACACTCTGCCTGCGAGCGGGTGCCTGTGTGCACAGTCTGTAGCTCATCCCTCTCTGATGAGCGTTTCCGCGCGCCATTCGCGCTGCCCTGCCCACATTCTTCTTATTCTTACAGATTTGTTGATTCGGTCCACCCTTGCAAAAGTCAAAACTGCACGCGAGCAAAGAGGGAGCTGCTCCTCTGAGGGGCATGGCTGCATGCAAGGCGGGGACTGCTGTCGCGCACTCAGCCTGCCGCTGTCTGTGCGGAAGTGCCTCCTCGCCTCCTCACTGGGCGGCAGGCGCGCTGCAAGACAGGCAGCTGGCTGCTGGGTCTGGGGCTTAGGCTTGCGGCTTGGGCCTGCGGCAGGCGCGCGGGACATCACTGTTCCGCGTTCGTCACTGCCCAGGAGGGCACGTTGGGCCAGCAAGTTTCCTGCTGAAGCCGCCCCCTTCTGCGTGGATATCTGAGGTTACAGGAAAGTGCGGGCGATGCGACTCTGAGCAGCAGAAAGAACGGGGAGGAGATGCGGCTGCGTAGGAATGGGAAGCAATCATGAATCACATGGCAACACCTAATTGGAGGCTGGCTTTCGGCGCCGCCGGTCAGTCTTGACGCCCCAGCGGCGTCCAGCAGCGCTCTGCTGCCACTGGCGCTCAAAGGCGGCTAGCCGAGCCTCGCTGCAGTCAACTTCGGGACGCTTGCAGAAACGGAGCACGGGCTGGGTCAGCGCACAAAGAAGCGGGCCATGCCCCCGAGCCAACATGCCATCCCATTGCCCATGCACTTTCAGATAATCTGCACGCATCGCCATCTTAGGCAAACCACCAATCACGTAGCTAGGATGGGAGACAAAGAACTCATCAAAAGCCAAACCCAGCACTTGTTCCACCCAGGCGGCCTGAAGCTGCATGGCGGCGCCACGAAGGTCACAGGCCATCAACGTGGGCCGCTTCTGAAACGTGGCCCAGATCTGGCTGTCGGCCAGCCCCTCGCTGCGCAGGTAGTCCCAGTTGGACTGTACACTGCTGGCCGGGGTCATCTGCAGCATAGGGGCCTTGTTCAGCAAGGCCGTCACTGCCTCGCGGTGCTGCAGCTGCAGCGGCGCATCTGCCTGCATGCCCTCAGCCGCCTGCATCAGCCTGCCAATCACTTCCACAAGTGCATCCAAGGACGGCATGGCAGCGCAAGCCTTCAAGTTCGCCAGGCCAGGCTGTTGTGCAATCTGCGCCAGCATCTCTTCGACGGAAGTGCCCAGTCGAGCCGCCCTAGCCGCCACCTGCCGGTCAAACTCTGCTGGCTCTTGGCGCAGTGCCGTGGAGCGCAGGGCGATGCGCTTGGCTGCAGACAGGGCGGTAGATGAAATAAGACGCCAATGGGACAACAATAGACCTCGCATCACCAACACCACAACAGCCTCACCTGTCTCCACCCTGCCGTACACGTGCTGCAGATGCTTGGCCATGCGCCTGGCACGGGCTGTGTCCCTGAACAAAATGGCAGTGTTCTTAAACACCTCTGCCGCAAACTCAGCGCTGCTCACACCCACCTCGCCGTGAAGAAGCGGCAGCTGTTGTGAGCCAACATGCTGCCAGCAGCTTGGTTGATTTAAATCACTACTGCTTCTGCTGCTGCTGCTGGGGCTGTTGCTGGGGCGGCCCCTGCTGCGGCTGTTGCTCCTGCTGTGGGTGCTGCTGCTGCTCTGCGCCAGTTAGCTTTGCCTCCTGCTCCGCTCGCCGCAGCATCTCCTGGAGCAGCTGCTCCTCAACCTGCGGGTTCAGGCGCATGCTTGGAGTCACGGAGCTGCCACAGCGGTGCAGATGGCAACCCATCAGGCAACAGAGACAGGAAGGATGCTGGCGCTGTGGCTCCCGCCACAGGCCTGCTGCTGCCCGGCAACCGCCACCCACCACACTGCCACTGCGCATGCACCAGCAGAGAAGCGCACCCGCCTCGAGCCGTCTGAGCTGCTTGCTCGCTGCAACGTGCACAGTTGTGAGTGCCGCTTCTTCGGCCTGCAGCGCCGACTCGACGTTCTGCAGGCGAGGCGGTGGTGCAGCAGGCGGGTGGGCGGGAGGTGCCAGGTTGCTGGTGGCAGAGGCAGGCAGTGAGCAGATTGGCCCAGCATGCACCCACAGCATGTTGGGAGCTCAAGGAGCAGCAGCAGCGCCCCGCACCGAGACCCTGAGCCCGCCGAGCTTGAGCTTGGAAGCCATGCACTTGCCGGGCAGGGCGGGGATGCCTGTGGAGCGATCTGAGGGGTTGTGGCTGACCAGCCAACCCACAAATGCACAACCAAGCTGACGGGGCGCCAGCGCGGAGAGCCGAAATCGGTATGAAAGTGGTTGATCGGGCCGCCGATGGCAAGATCGGCGAGCTCTGGCTCAATCCAGGCAGCGTCCTCCTGCTCCCTTGGCCCATTCATCCTGGCCCGCTGGTGGGGTTTGCCACTGAGCCCTCCCCAGGCCTGTCTTGCTCGACCTCAAGCAATGCGGATTGCGGCACGGCATTGCGGGAGGGCACTGCCCACAACCCTCTGCTGCCCAGGAGGGGGGACCGCCGCTCGCCCTTTTGCGCCTTACAACCGGCGTTCAGCAGGGCGCAGGGCAGCGGCCGTGAGACCGGCAGCATCCGCAGCGCAGCAGGCGGACGTGGTGGTGGTGGGCGCCGGCGTGGCGGGCCTCAACGCCGCTGCCAAGCTGCACAAAGCGGGTGGGCATGCACGGCACGCCTGCGCTGCAATGCAGGCTGAATGCCCGGCGCACCTCCCCAGGCAGCTATCCCGTGGGGCTCTTCACAGCACGCCCCTCGCGCCTCTGCCTGCCCGCAGGCGCCAGCGTGGTGGTGGTGGAGGCGTCTGACGGCGTGGGCGGGCGGGTGCGCACCGACGAGGTGGACGGCTTCCTGCTGGACCGAGGCTTCCAGATCTTCCTGACCTCCTACCCAGAGGCCCAGGTGGGGCCACAGGCGGGTTCGTTTGACAAGCTTGCAAGGCACACACGAGGCTGGGGACTGAGGGACGTCCCCGCGCGGTCGCCAGCGGCCGCCGGCCTCGCCCTCCCACCCCCTCCTCTGCCCCGCCCACTCGCCGCCGCCCCACGTCCACTTGCCGCCGCTACCCGCCACCGCAGGAAGCCCTGGACTACGGCGCCCTGGACTTGCGGCCCTTCTATGCGGGCGCGCTGGTACGGTACCAGGGAGAGTTCCATCGGGTGGCCGACCCCCTGAGGTGCGCTCCACACCTCCATGCAGCTCCAGCACCCGCCTTTCCTTTCCTCCTGCCCTCCCCGCCCGTGCACAGCACGTGCGATCCCGCGTCGGCGGCCTGCCAACCCCCAGCCCCTGCCGAGGAGCGACGCCCGCCTCCGGAGCACCCTGCTGTGTCCAGCTCCCCGCCCGCCACCGCTCACCCGCCGTCCTGCCGCCTGCGCCCTTGGCTGCCTGTCCCCTTGTGCAGGCACCCAGCGGACGGCCTGGCTTCTCTGGCCAACCCCATTGGCAGCCCGCAGGACAAGCTGCTGGTGGGGCTGTTCCGCCTGAAGAGCCTGCTGGGCAGCGTGGATGAGCTGCTCAAGGCGCCAGAGACCAGCATCGAGCAGCGGCTCCAGGTGTGGTGCAGATCATGATCTGGGGCCCTGGGGGGCCTAGGGGAAGGGAGTGAGAGTGTGTTCGCCGTCCTTCTGCCGGCAGCGTGGGAATGAGGAGGCCGGGCAGCAGCGAGAGCCGAGGAGCAGCGGGGTTGCCACTCTGCCGCCGGCTGCTTCCCTCTCTTCCTCCCGCGCTGCCCACTTGCGCTGCCCCCCCGCGCTTTCGTTCCACCCGCGCTTTCTTTCCACCTGCACTTTCCACCTGCATCCCCACCCGCAGGCCGAGGGCTTCTCCCAGCCCATCGTCGACCGCTTCTTCCGCCCCTTTCTGGGCGGCATCTTCTTCGACCGCTCCCTGGCCACCTCCTCCCGCCTCTTCTCCTTTGTCATGCGCATGCTGGCCACAGGTGAGCGGCGCGTGTGTGCTGTGTGTGCTTTGTGTGCTGTGTGTTGTGTGTGTGTGGTGTGTGTGTGCGCGCACACGTGTGTGTGTGTGCTGTGTGTTTGTGTGGGTGCTTGCGTGTGTGTGGTTTGTGTGCTGTGTGTTGTGGGTGTGGATGGGTCTGCGTGTGGGTGGTGATGCGCAAGGCCTGCGCTGCGCTTGGTGTGGTGTGTGGGCGACTGTGGTGAGCGCATGTGTAGGGCGGCGGTGCTCCTGGGGTGCGTGAGGAAGCTGAGCACAGCTTGGCAGCAGGGAGGAGAGCCCCTGCTTGCTGGCTCGGCGCACCCAGCCCCTCACCCCCGCCGCCCCCTTGGCTCGCTCCCGTTGGTGCAAGCCAGAAATGCCTGCCGGCGGACGGCATTGGCGCTTTGGCCGACCAGCTTTGCTCCCGCCTACCCGCCAGGAGCATTCCCCTCAAACACGCAACCGCGGCCCTGGACCGGCGGCGGCGCGGACGGGGCCCCGCCGGCCGTGCAGCTGGCGGATGGGGCAACCCGGCCGGCCCGGGGGGGGGTGGTGCAAGCGGAGGGGCCCGAGGCGGCGCGCTGCTGGGGCCTGGCGCTGGCCGGGGCGCCCAGCAAGGCGGCCCCGGCGGTCGGCACTGCTGGCTTTACTTTAAAAGCGGCGCGGCCGCCCAGGTGCGTGTGGGTGCGTGTGGGTGCGTGTGGGTATTGTGTGTGCATGTGTATATGTGTGTTAGTGCGCGTGCGTGTGCGGATCCCTGGGTGTGTGCTTCCAGCTGCGGGGTTGCTGGCAGGTCACCGCCCGCACCGTCCCGCTGTGCCCGTCAGCATGCTGCGCCTGGCTGCCAGTTCACCCTGATGTACCATTGGTGCCGCCGAACCGCTGCGCTGATGTACCGCTGTACCGCCACACCGTACCGCAGGCCTGGCAACACGCTGTACCTGGCGGGCGAGGGCGGCGGCCTAGTCAACAACATGTGCTTTCCCTCAGAGGTGGCACCCAGCTATGCGCCGCAGGGGCAGGTGGGGGCAGGCGCCAGGGCTTCCGGCACTTGTGGCGCTGTTTTTCTTTTGGCATTCTTTGTGTATGTGTTGTGCCTGCACGGGGCATGGCTCTTGGCCGCCGCGGGGCAGCCCTCTACGGCCGGACGCCGCCTCTGCCTGCCCGGCTGCCAGACGGGCGCTTCGCGTGATCCGAGCTGAGTGCGCATGCGGCCACCCCTCGCCCCACCTCCCGCGGCCCCCCCCTGCTCGCCCGCCCGCCCCTGGCCGTGCAGACCCTGGTGTCTGTCTCCACGATCGGCACGCTGGACCAGCTTTCTGAGCAGCAGCTGGTTGAGGGCGTCAAGGCAGAGCTGGGCGGCTGGTTTGGGGCGGGTGAGGTGGCGGGGTGGCAGCACCTGAAGACCTACCGCATACCCTTTGCGCAGCCCAGCCAGGTGGGGTGGGAAGCGGCAGCGGCAGGGAGGCGTGCCTAGGCGGGGAGGGGCCAGGAGAGGTGGGGGGTGGGGGTGGGGAGCTGTGGAGGCGAGGGGAGGCTCGGCAGGTGTGGGCGCGACGCTCCTGAAGTACTAGGCTAGCTGCCATAATCAACCTTTCTCCACCTGCCTGCCCGCTGCCGCCACCGCCCCGCTGCCCCGCAGGCGCCGCCCACCGACCTCTTCCGCCCCGTCAGCCTGGGCGGCGGGCTGTACGTGTGTGGCGACCACCGCTGCTCAGCCACCCTGGATGGCGCGCTGCGGTCGGGACGGGAGGCGGCGGAGGCCGTGCTGGCAGACCTGCAGCGGCAGCCGCGCGGCGCGGCGGTGGCGGCCGCGGCGGCGGCGCAGCAGTAGGCAGCTGGAGCGAGCGGGCGGCTGGCTGCCCGCCGAGCGTTTTTCTGATTTTCTGAGAAGTATTGCTGTGTTGTCGGATTTGATCCATTTTTTCTGCTGTGTGTGCATTGCTGCGCTCTCCAAACCTCGCCTGAGATGATGTGCGGGTGGGTATCTATGAATTTGAAACAAGAATAATGGAAACTATGTTATGCAACAAGACAAACAACTCGTGCGCTGCGCACCTTGCGCCCTTGCGCGCTGCCGGGCCGCTGCGCGAGCGCCCGCGCCGTCGCCGCCCTCGCCCACAGCCGACTGGATCGCTGCGCCCCTGGGAAGCCGCCTGTGATGCCTGCCTGCGCCGTCGCCGCCCTCACAGCCGGCTGGGGCGCCGCCCCAACAGCAGCTCCACACACTCCCCAAACACAGCGGTGTGTCGGTCCACGTCGGCAGCGGTGGTGGTGGGCGCCATGAGAGCCATGTTGTCTGCAGCCAGCGGCAGGGAAGAAAGCATGCAGGCAGGCAGGCGCAGGAGGGCGTCAGAGCGGCACTGCGACTGTCGCCGCACGGACGACGGCATGCTCCCCTTGCGATGCCGGCTGCAGGAGACACGGCCCCCCCGCCCACCCCGGCACCGCAGGCCCAGCCCCGCCCAGCCCGCGGTGGGAAGCTGCCCCCATGCATATGCGCAGCCACTCACGAAAGGGCGTGAGCATGATGCCGCGGTTGAGTGCTGCCAGGTGCATGAAGCGGTCGAGGTCGGCATCCACGGTGGCCGCCGCCTCGCCGCCGTTGCGGGGCGGGTCGGGGCGGAACCAGTACTCCACCCGGCAGCCCAGCCGCTTGACGATCCAGGGCAGGCCGTGGGCCGCGATCACGCCCTCCACCCCCGCCTCGAAGCGCTGCGCCAGCGAGATGGTGTGCCTGCGCAGGAGGTGCGGTTGTGTGTGTGTGTGGGGGGGGGGGGGGCGGGGGTGGATGTGGCTCACCCAGCCCAGCAGCAAAGGCTGAACCTGTTTACCTGCAGCAGCGCTGTAGGCAGCGCAGGCCGCAGCCACAGCGGCACAGCTCGATGCCACAGCGGCGCAGCTCGATGCCACAGCGGCGCGGCTCGACACCCAGCGCCAGCACCACCACCGGCAGGACGGCGGCCGCGGCGGCGGCGGCGGCAGGGGGCCTCACCTGAAGGCATCCTCGGTAAGCACATGCTCCAGGGTGGCCCTCATGGCGGCCAGGCTCAGCGCATTGCCTGCGCCAGCGGGGCAGCCACAAACCGCCGTGGCAGGCCGCTCCGGCGCCCGTAACCCTTCGCCGCCTTAACCCAGATTACCCACACACGCCAGCATCTGGCGTGCCCCACCACCACCACGATTACCACTGCCACCCCCCCCACACACATACGCAGTAAAGTGGCGCGCCGCACCCCAGCCCCGCATCTGTCACCCATGCAAGCCGGCGTCTCACCTGCCAGCGTGCCGCCGATGCCGCCCGTGTCCGACTCATCCACGGCGATGCGCCCCGCCAGCCTGGCGGCTAGCTGCTCCGTGAAACCATACACCGCGACGGGGACACCGCCTGGAGGAGGAAGAAGAGAGTGTGTGGTGGTGGTTGCGGTGGTGGTGGTGGTGGTGAGGGTGAGGGTGGTGATGGTGTGTGGCAGGTGGCGGGTGGGGCTGGGCACAGTAGGGAGAGGTGGGGCGCAGCGGCAGCAGCAGCAGCGACGCACTTGTCTGCCCGAGCTAGGCGGCCGCCACCACACCGCCACCACCACCACCACAGCAACAGCAGCCAGCAGCAGCAGCAGCTGGCGGCAGCAGCCCACCCGCTATGGGCTTCCCCAGCACAAAGATGTCGGGCTGCAGGCCATGGGCGCGGGTGTAGCCGCCGGGGCCCGCGCAGATGGTGTGGGTCTCGTCGATGATCAGCAGCGTGCCCGTGCTGCGCGACAGGCCAGGAGGAGGCGGCGGAAGGGGAGGAGGTCAGAGGCAGGGGCAGAGGCAGAGGCAGGGGCGTGGTGTAGGGAGAAGGCAGCCGGCGAGCAGGCGCTTGGCAGGGGGCAGGATGCGAGGCGTGGCCGTGTGGGCGCCGGGCCAGCAGAGGGTGGTAGCCCTCACCGGGTGCAGATCTCCCGGAGCGCCTGGTGGTAGCCTGGGTCAGGGTGGATGATGCCTGCCCATGGCACAGGGGTGGCAGGTGGGGTGGTGCACGTATGTGTGGGGAGGTGCGTGGGGTGGATGCCCGGGTTGTGTGGGCGCGCGTGTGTGTGGTGCGGGGGCGATGGGGGTGGTGGGCGCGGCCCTCGGTTGCATGGAGCCAGCAGGGGACCACACACACACACACACACACACACACCACCACCACCACCACCTGGTGTGCCCAACGTCCATACACACCACACACGCACACACGCACCCACCCACCAATGTTGGTCGTGGCATTGCCCACCGCACACGCATCACCACACACACCACCACATCTCCACCACACAGCCACCACACCACCCGCCACCCACCGATGTTGGTCATGGCGGGCTCGGCCAGCACCGCCGCCACGTCGCCGGGGGCCAGCGCCGCCTCCAGGGCCGCCAGGTCGTTGAACTCGACGACCTGGTTGGGATGAGAACCGCGATAGGAAGCAGGTGGTTAAAACGACATCCACTGGGAAAATACTTGTACTTCGAAATTCTGCCCGGCCGGGGGAGAAGGTGAGGGCAGGACCAGAGGCATGCTCAGATCCCGATACGTGTAGCTAGGGAGGGCAGGCACGGCGGAGGCCAGACGAGGTGGGGCAGCAAGGGCAGGCAAGAGGGACAGCCAACGCCCGACAGTTCCCCAACCAGGGGATGCGGCAAGGCGAAGCTAGAGGCACCAGCCAATACGGGAAGGAGGCCAGTGTGCCCCAGCCAGGGTGGCGCACGCGCACGCGCGCGCACACACACACACACGCGCGCACACACACACACTCTGCCAGCTGGAACCCTGCCCGCCGCACCTTGGCGGTCACCCTGGGGTCCACCGGAGGGCCCAGGTTGCCGGCCCGCAGGGCGGGGGTGCCGTCGGCCCTGCGCAGGGCAGGCAGGCAGGCAGGCAGGTTGTGGCAGCGGCGAGGCGCACCCATGCAGCCCCGGCCCTTGGGGCCCCAGTCCGCAGCCCACCGTGCCGCGCCCACACCCCATGCACCCAGCCCACATGGCCGCGCCGCCAGCCCCCACCCCTCCCGGCCAGCCGTCGGCCACAGCCCGCACACCGCAGGGTGATGAAGGTCTCTTCCACGCTGCCGTGGTAGCAGTAGTTGAAGACGAGGATCTTGGGGCGCCCGGTGATGTGCCTGCGGGGCGGGGACGGGAGGGGAAGGTCACACACAGATTGCTGTGATGCTTGCAGTACACACAGAGTACTCGCACACGACTGTGGCGGGGGCTGCCGCTGCCCGGTGTGGGAGGTGCAGGCTCTCTGTATGCTGCGGCTGGCGGGGAGGTGGGAAGGCACGGGCGTGGGGCCGCCGCGTCCTGGCGGTGCGCCCCTGCACCTGCCCGCCCTCGCCGCCCCGCTGCCCCGTCCCCAGCACTTTCTGCCCACACCCACCTCGCCAGCCGGATGGAGAAGCGGTTGGCGTCTGTGGCGGTCAGCGCAAACTGCCAGTACTTGAGGCCGAAGCGGCGCGTCAGCTCCTGGCCACACCACACCGCATCCTCAGTCGGCAGCATGAAAGTGATGCCGGCCGCGGCGCGGGCCGCCACAGCCTGCGGCGGCAAGCACGGCGGGTGGGCGGCGGGCGTGCACGCCTGGCCTTTGGGGATGCTGCCGCCGCCCCGGAAGCCAGCTATCGCTCGCCGCTCACAGGACATGCTTTCTACAACCTCGCCTGTGTGGACCTCGCCTGTGCCGCAAGCCCCCGTGCGTACATGCAGGCTGTACACTGTTGTACAGCAAGGCAGACCCACCTTGGATGTCGTCGGCGGCGCGTGTCCCGCCATGGCCCCGGTGTCGCCCAGGCAGAGGTCCACGTATTCGTGGCCGTCCACACACCGGAAGCGCGCCCCGCTGCCCTCTGTGACGGTGATGGGGAAGTTGCCGGCGCTGCGGACCTGCGGAGTGGGCAGCGGGGTGGCGCAAGGATCGGCTCGAGGCGCCGGGGGGAGGAGCGGAGGCGGCGGCGGCAGGGCCGCCTGCTGCACCCGGCGCTCATTTGGGCACACTCGCAGGCGGGCTCCCAACGCAGGCCGCTGAGAGACGTCCTTTTTGCGGCCTTCTGGGCGTCGCTAGGTTAGGGTTCCGTCCCGGCGCGCCCCCTCACCATCCAGTGCATGGGCACGCCCGCCAGCAAGCATGTCTGGGCCTGCTTGTAGAGCTCGTAAGACTTGCGGTGCGTGCGCAGGTAGGTGGCCTCCTCCTGCTCGATGAGCTCCCGCAGGCGCTGGCGGTCGATTGCCATGATCGATGCAACTGCGCTAGGGAATGCATACGGGAGCAACTGCCCTGGAAAAGGTGCTCATGAAATGCGTGCTGTGTTCCACCGCCGACAGCAGCGCTGAATCCCGCCGTGGGCCAAGCAGAGCTGTCCTTCATGTCCCGTGCTGTTGCCTGATCATTCCTCTCACCTTCCCCGCCACCCATGTACCACTTCAACATGCGGGCCCTGGCGCAGGCGGTGCTCAGGAAAGCCTGCAGTGCCTTGTACGAAACCTTTCGCATACGCGCTTGCTGGAAGGTGGTTTAAGTAACAAACGGAAGCAACAAACCAACGGGAAGCAGGAACCACACAGAAAGGAACAACTAAGCGGCCGTGGGGGTGCGCCGGCGCCGCCGGTCTACCTTGACGCCCCAGCGCAGCCCCTCGGGGCTTTGCCGCCACTGGCGCTCAAAGGCAGCCAGCTGCGCCTCGCTGCAGTCCACTTCGGGGCGCTTGCAGAAGCGGCTCGGGCTCGGTCAGCGCACATAGGGGTGGGCCACACCCACGAGCAAACAGGCCATCCCATCGCCCTTGCACTTTTAGATAATCTGCACGCATCGCCATCCTAGCCACACCACAAACTACGTAGCTAGCATGGGAGACTAAGCACTCATGAGAGGCCAAACCTAGCACTTGTTCCAGGCGGCCTTAAGCTGCATGGCGGCGCCGCAAAGGTCAAAGGTCATCAGTGTGGGCCGCTTCTGAAACGTGGCCCAGATCTGGCTGTAGGTCAGCCCCTCGCTGCGCAGGTAGTCCCAGTTGGACTGCACAGTGCTGGCCGGGACCATCTGCAACATAGGGACCTTACTAACCAAGGCCGTCGCTGCCTCGCGGTGCTGCGGCTGTAGTGGCGCATCTGCCTCCACGCCATCAGCCGCCTGCATCAGCCTGACGATCACTTCCACAAGTGCATCCAAGGACGGCATGGCAGCACCAGCCGTTCTGTTCGCCAGGGCAGGCTGTCGTGCATCTGCTCCAGCATCTCTTCGACAGTGATGCCCAGGACAGCCGCCCTGGCTGCCACCCGCCGGTCAAACTCCGCTGGCTCCAGGCGCAGTGCCATGGAGCGCAGGGCGATGCGTTTAACTGCAAGAACGGGGGAGCAGTCGTTTGTGCACGAATTGGCTACCTGGTGCCTTCACGCCATCAGGCGGCCTCGCCTGTCTTCACGTCGCCCTTGTACTTGTGTAGCAGGTGCTGCACCATGCACTTGGCGCAGGCTGTGTCCCTGAAACAAATGACGGAGTGCTTAAACACCGCTGCCGCAAACTCAGCATCGCTCACACCCAGCTCCTCGTGAAGGGCCTGCTGAGCAGCAGTGATATAGCTGCTGTTCCGCATAAGCTGGTATGCACCACTGCCAGGGTAGGCGATGAGCGCGGCCCCCAGCCGTGTGAGAGGCGGGTCCGGCGACGGCAGGCTGCTGCTGTCCAGGTGCTCAGCCAGGTCCCTCACAACTGCCAGGCTGCTCATGAAGGTCATGCGTTTGGTGGTGAGCAGCTTTGGGTGCGCCTCACAGAGCCACTGGCGGTCAGCCGTGGTCAGGCCCTCCCTCCGCAGCGCTGCCATGTTAGGTGCCAGGTCACGCTGCACCTTGTCGATCGAACACTGCTTGCCGCTAACTTTTGTATGCAAGTAGCGGATGGTGGCTTGGCTGAAGCCCTGCTGCTCCCGCAGGTGGCGCCAAAGAGGCAGCTCATCCACCGCCGCTGCATCGCTAGCTGCAAGGGCTGAGCTGGCAAAGACCACCAGCCCAGCCGGCGCTGCTGCTTGGAGGTTTCGCGCCGGGGTCATCGTGCGCCACAAACAAGCAGGCGGTCGGGCGGCTGCCGCACTGCTGCCAAAGCACCGCACAGCTGACAGGCAGCTGCTAGCTGTCGCGCTGCCGCTGAAGCTTCTGGAGCGGCAGCTGTTGTGAGCCAACATGCTGCCAGCAGCTTGGTTCATTTGAATCACTACTGCTGCTGCTGCTGCTGCTGCTGCTGCTGCTGCTGCTGCTGCTGCTGGGGCTGTTGCTGGGGCGGCCCCTGCTGCGGCTGTTGCTCCTGCTGTGGGTGCTGCTGCTGCTCTGCGTCAGTTCCCTCTGCCTCCTGCTCCGCTCGCCGCAGCATCTCCTGGAGCAGCTGTTCCTCAACCTGCGGGTTCAGGCGCATGATTGGATTCATGCGCACTGCTGTTGAGGTGACACAAGCAATGCAGACATCAAACCCATCAGGCAACAGGGGGAAGGCAGGATGCTGGCGCTGCCGCTCCCGCCACAGGCATGATGCTGCCCTGCAACCGCCACCGATCGCGCTGCTGCTGTGCGCATCACCAGCAGAGAAGCGCACCCACCTCGAGCCGCCTGAGCTGCTTGCTCACTGCAACGTGCACAGTTGTGAGCGCCGCTTCTTCGGCCTGCAGCGCCGACTCGACGTTCTGCAGGAGTAGCGGTGGTGCAGCGGGCGGGTGGGCGGGAGGTGCGAGGGCACCAGGCGGCGGTGGCAGGCGGTGCTCAGATTGGCCCAGCATGCACGTGCTGCTGCTGGGAGCTCAAGGAGCAGCAGCAGCGCCCCGCACCGAGACCCTGAGCCCGCCGAGCTTGAGCTTGGAGGCCATGCAGGTAGCCAGCGGCAGCAGAGGCCGAGCCTAGAAGAACCACTGCTTCCAATTCTCGGCCCAATGGGCCAGTGCCATCATGTGCCATGAACAAATGCTGTGGTAGGGCGCAGCAGCAAGCAGGTGCCGGCTGGGCTGCATAGTCACCCTCCTTCGCGTCAGAGCATTGAAGGGCTTGGGCGCGACGTTACAAAACTGTGTTCTGGGCGCGGAACGGCCATTCAGTGGTCCAATGCCGTCCGCTCAGTCTCGCACCGTGCCCTCTGCCTCTGGCAGGCTAGACAGACCCGCATGGGTGCCATGCCGCGCCTCGCGATCGCACTGTAGCGCCCCTGGCATTCAGGCGTCGCGGGCGGCAGCACCGCCTGCACGCGTGTGGCGGCGGCAGCGGACGGTTGCGCAGGCGAGTGCCGGCTGCCCACCGCCAGCTTGCAAGCCGTGTCATCAACAGCGCATGCCGCGTCCGGCAATGGGACAGACACTCATCCCTCGCGCTGCGCTGGTAGGCCGTTGCTCGCAAATCCCCCTCACCCACACCGCTCCCGCGACGCGACGTCGTGCCCGCAGGCTGGCGCCGCCACCACGCAGCCCTCGCCGCCCAGCCCGGCCCCAGGCGGCGGCGGCCCTCTGCTGCTGTGGTACAAGCGGGACCTGCGGCTGGATGACCACCCCGGCTGGCACGCCGCCGCTGCTGCTGCTGCGGCGGCGGCGGCGGCGGCGGCCGACGCGGCAGCAGGAGCGCCTCGTGGAGTGGTGCCCGTCTTTTGCTTCGACCCCGCACGCTACGCGCACCTGGTGCTCCCCCGTGGCGGCGCAGAGGGTGAGGCGGCTGCGCTGTCGCGCCAGGCGGCCGGCTGATCGCGGCGTGCGCCCGGCAGGCAGCCGGCTGCCTGGGCTGCTTCCCTGGGGCTCCCTCCCACCCCTCGCCTCCGATCCCCCGCTGCTGCCGCGCCCCTGTGCAGCCCTGTGCCGGGCGCTGGCCTCCCTGGATCGCTCCCTGCGCCAGCATGGCAGCCGCCTGGTGGTGAGGGTGGGCGCCTGGGAGGAGCAGCTGCCCTTGCTGGCCGCAGAGCTGGGCGCCGCCGGCGTCGTGGCGGAGCAGGAGGTGGAGGCAGGTGAAACCCTAAAACCCTACGCTGTCGGTTGTCCTGGCAGGCGGGGCGCAGCCTGGGGCTGCGGCTGTGCCCGCCTGCCGTGCTGCTGCTGCCCTGCATGCGGTCGCCGGCATGCTGCACAGCCACCAGCCCTGCATGCCCTGCGCTGAGCCCTGCCTCTTGTGTCGGCCGGCTGCGCTCCTTGCAGACTGGCGCCAGGGCGTGGAGCGGGTGGCGGCGGCGCTCCCCGGCGGCGTGGCCGTGCACCACTGGCGGGCCCCGCTACTGGCTAGCCATGACGACGATTACAGAAGTGAGGCCGTGGGGGAGCATGTGTGGGGGTGCCTGGTGGGGGGGCAGGAGGTTTGTTTGTATGCCTGCGGTTGTGGTCAGCAGGCTGTGCACCGCTGGGCAGGTGACCCAACAACCAGCTGACCCGCGGCTACCTGATCGTCTGCCGGGCACGGTCCTTGCTGCCCCCCCTGCCCGCAGCGCTCAAGGCACGGCAGCCGGCCATCAACCCGCCCCTCCCCGCCCTCCCCGAGCTGCCGCCTCTGCCGGCGGGCGCCCCGGACGCGCCACAAGGGTGCCACGCGGGCGGCGCCGGCGGCGACGGTGGGCTGGGCATCAGCAGCGCCCAGCTGCGCCGGCTGGCCGCCGACGCGTATGCCGCCAGCCTGAGCCCGAGCCTGCTCCCGGCGGCGGCGGCGGGCTACGGCAGCAACGGCGCTGGCAACGGCGCTGGCAACGGCGCCAGCGGCGGCAGCAGCGCCTCCAGCATCAGTTTCAGCGAGGAGGAGGAGGGCGGCCGCCTGATCGACCGACTGGTTTCCGGCGCGGCCGACGGCGGCGACGGCGGCGGCGACGACGGTGGCTGGCAGGCAGGGGGAGCAGTCGCCGCCGTCGGGGGCGCCTGGGAGGCGGAGGTGTCGGGGGAGATAGCGGCGGGGGAGGGGCCCGTGCTGCGCGCGCTGGGCGGATACCTGCGCAGCCTGGAGACCGCCGCAGAGGGCGGCTTTGGCGGCTTTGGCAGCGGCGGCGAGGCGGCGGCGGCGGCGCTGGCGCAGGCAATCTCTGCCCACGACCAGCCCGCCACCCCCGACGGCTGCTTCCCCGCGCTGTTTGGCAGGTGCCGCCAGGGCCGGGCTGGGGGGGCGCAGGCGCTGCACTGCGGTGCGATCTCCTGTGGCGGCGCCGCTTGCGGCCCACCCCTTTAGCCTTCCTAGGGCTGGCTCCGCAGCCTGCTGACCTCCCCTGCTGGCCCCTATCCCGCTTCTGACTGCCTTGCAGGGCTCTGTCGCTGGGTGTGGTGTCCAAGCGGCGAGTGTATGCTGAGGCCGCAGCCCTGCTGGCGCAGCAGCCCGAGCAGGCCTGGCCCGCCGGCTTCGGCCTGCTGCGCCAGCTGGGCTGGCTGCTGACCTCGGGCGGCGGCGCCTCGGTGCGGCTGCACCGGCAGAAAAAGGCAGCCGCTGCGGCAGCAGCAGTGGAGGCCCGAGATTTCCACGAGCAGATGGCCGCGGCGCGGGAGGGCAGGTGGGGCGGGCCTGCCAGCCCCCGGCAGGGGGACGCCCGCCGGGGAACTGCTGAGGCCGCAGCCAGGGCCGACGCGGCAGCATGCGCAGGCAGCTGCGCAGCCCGCTGTCGCCCTCCCGCGTGCCGGCAGAGCAGGCAGAGCAGCCACCACCTGCTTCCCTCTGCCCCAGCTGAAACAGGGGAGAACTCTTCCCCCTGCCCGCAGGCGGGTGCACGGCGCCACCCTCCACCACTGGCGGTGGAGGGGACTCCTGACAGATTACCTGGCTGCCCCTGCCGCTGCCGCCGCCGCCGCGCCAGCCGTCGGCGCCGCTGAGCGGCCCGCCATCCTGCTGTGCCACGGCTTTGGCGCCTTCTCTGGTGCGGCGCCGGCTGCGCCCGGAGGGCAGGCAGCGTTGCGCGGCAGTCCCCGGCTGCCCGCCTGCCTGCCTGCCTGGCATCCGCTGACGTGCGCTTGGATCCACCACGCGCCGCCCTTGCTCACGCTTGCTGCGCCTTGCAGCGTGCAATCCAGCCGCCCGACTATGGTCTCTGACCACCCCGGCCCCACTCCTGCCCCTGCCCTTGCCCCGCTGCTCCGCCCCGCCCGCAGAACACTACCGCGACAACGTAGCGGCGCTGGCGGCCGCAGGCTATGACGTGTATGCGCCCACGCTGCCGGGGTACGGCCGCGCCGAGAAGCCGGTGCTGCCGTACGGCCAGGTGCGTGTGTGTGTGTGTGTGTGTATGTGTTGGTGCTGTGCTGCATTATGCTGTGCTGTGCTGTGCCGTGCTGTCCTGTGCTTTGCTGTGCCTGCCATGCCGTTCCGCGCTCCATTCCTGTGGTGCCCCCTTTCTACACCCTCTGCCTCGCCTGCCGACAGCGCCTTTCGACTCCCCGCCTGGCCGCCCGCCCATCCCCTCCCCTTCCACCCCTGCCTGCTGCCCCCTGCAGGGTCTGTGGACTGACTTCCTGGCAGACTTCGTGCTCCAGGTAAGCCCCCTGCCTGCAGCATGGTGCACAGCGTGAGGCCGCGCGCCCCGCCCGGCTCACAGGCAGCGGGGGGCGCAGAAGGCGCCGCCAGGCGGCGTGCAGGAGCCCGCCGATATACTGACAGAGGGAGCATGGCGGTACCACAGAAGCGAATAATAATAGCATTTCTTAACCTATTATAGTAAGCATGGCTGTGTGTGGCTTCGACTAAGCGCCCGCGCCTGCCCCGCCTGCGGGCGCAGGTGGTGCTGCGGCCGGTGGTGGTCGCCGGCAACTCAATCGGCGGCTTCATCTCCGCCTCCCTTGCGGCAGACCACCCTGGCCTGGTGCGCGGCCTGGTGCTGCTCAACAGCGCAGGTGGGAGGCTGCCGCCTGTGAAAGCCTGAAAGCCAGCCAGCCTGTCCCGGCTGCAGCAGGCCTCGGCAGGGAGGGGTGTGGTGGGCGGGGAGGCTGCAGCGGGGGGCTGGGGGCCTGGTGCCGCATGCCCGGGGCAGGTCGGCAGCTGCTTCCCGTTGGCTGAAGAGGAGAGCGAGCGCCTGTGGTGGCCGGGGCGGCTGTGTGCATGCCTGCCTGTTGAAAATCCATCAAAGGACCCCTTCTCCTGCCCCCTCCTGCTACTGCCTGCCTGCCGCTGCAGGGCGCATCGTGGAGGGCCCGTACCAGCCGCCCGTGGAGCCCGCCAAGTCCCGCCCGCCGCCGGCGTTTGTAGTGGACGGCGTGGCCAGGGTGCGCCGGGGACGCTTCCCTCTGTCGCCGCCGCTTGCCCGCCGCCGCTGCCGCCGCCCTGCCCCATCCACGGCCTCCCAAAGTCGCTGCCGCTTGCCCGGCGGCGCCGCCGCCGCCCTGCCGCATCCTGCGCCCACCCCCGGCTGCTGCCCTGGCCTCTTCTCCCGTCCAGCCCACCCGGCGCCGCCTCAGCATCACCGCTGCCCCACCCGCCTCTGCAGGCCCTCTTTGCGTACCTGGAGGGCGGCGTGGAAGCCCAGCTGCGACGGGTGTACCCTGCGCGCCCGGACCGAGCCGACGCTTGGCTGGGCGGAGAGATTGCGAGGGCGGCACGCGACCCCGGGGCACTCGGCGTCTTCAGGTGGGGGCCGCCGCACCTCAGCGCAGCTGCAGCTGCAGCTGACGCGGCGGGCCGCCCTTCTGGGCTGGCAGCCGATGCTGGAGCGTGCGGCAGGCCGGCGGGTGCTGCGTGTGCGTGGCTCGCCTCGCCTCGCGGCCAGCGGCCCGCCCTGCCCTGCCCAGCCCCGGCCCTCCGTCCTGCCCTTGCGTGCCTGCGCTGGGGCCCGCCGCCCCTCGTGCCACCACCACACCACACCTCTGCACCCGCCCTGCTGACATGAAGCATCGTCTGTCCCTGCCCCCCTGTCCCCGCCGCCGCCCCGCACCCCATCACCCGGCAGGAGCGTGTTCTACCTGCCAACCCCTCGCGCGCTCAACTACTTGGTTACCAGCAAGTTTGGGGGGCCCACCCTGGTGCTTCAGGTGTGCTGGGAGGGCTGGGCTGGGCGGCGTGCGGCTGGCTGCTGGTGCAACGCTGCGGGGACAGGCCGCGCTGCCGCAGCGAAGGGGGCCGAGGGCCGGCGAGGCCTGGGGACAGCGGCAGCACCACGAGGTATCCCAGAGATACCTCTGCAGCGACGTGGCCAGCTCTGAGAAGCCAGCCTGCCCCTGCCTGCCGCGGCCTGTGCCCTATGTGTGCAGGGCCTGAAGGACCCTCTGAACAACGCGCCCGCACGCGCCGCCGAGCTGGCCCGCTGCTGCCCCAACGCCCAGGTGCGGCCAGCCTGCCTGGCGCGAGCCGCCGGGGATGCGTGGCTGCCCCTCTACCTGCCAGCCCGCTTCTCCCTGCAATGTGTCCGCTCCAAATCATCCCAGTGGCGGCTGGCTTGCATGACTTGCAGCGGCTGCATTGGCCGGCAGAGGTGCCAGCGGCCAGCTGGCCTGGCCGCGCCCGCCTCGGCTCATGCCATGTGCACCTCTCCCGCGTCAGCCGCCATGCCTGGTTTCATGCTGCCCAGCCTCCTACATTGTGCCCTGCCCGCCGCTCCCTGCCCGCAACAGGTGATCGAGCTGAAGGATGCGGGACACTGCGTCCATGACGAGGTTCCAGAGGTGGTGAACCGAGAGATACTGGCGTTCATCGAGCAGCGGGTGCTGGCACCGGGCGGCTTGGGCGACGGGGCGGCGGCGGCGGCGGCGGCGGGGCTGCCCACGCCCGCAGCGGCCAAGTAGCGCAGTGCAGGAGCGGCAGCAGCGGCCCGTGGGTGGGTGCACGGGCAGGGGCCTGCCCCGGGCGCCATGCTGTGTAAGGACCTCTCTGTCCCCTGAAACCTCCCCTGGCGGGCACACTCTGCAAATTGGTGTTTCGTTGAGCAGTTGCATTTCTGTTGCATTTCATTTTATGCGGTTGTTGTTTGATTGGTTTGAGCCTGAGCCCGAATCGGTTTGTAAAGCCCGAGGAAGGCATGCGGTGGAAGGGTAGTGTTGGGCGGGCGGGCAGGCGAAAGAGGAGCAGTCTGGCAGCGCAATGTGCGGCGCCGGCATTGCACGCAGCAGGAGGGAGAAGCGGGCGAGGAGCAGAGTGGGCACTCAGGGGGTGAGCAGGCAAAGGACAGCGTGGAGAGGGTGTGGGAAAAAAGCTGGGCTGCATCAAACGGTAGCAGGGGCTGCTGCTGCTGCTGCTGCCGGGCGGCGCCAAACGGTGGTCTGGTGCTGCTGCAGGGCCGCAGGCGGTCAGATCGTGAGGTAGCTGCGGCGCCTGAAGTTGTCTACCGCCAGGCGCAGCATTGCGTTGAACGTCGCGCCCTGGCTGCTAAACCGCCTGCAAACGTGGGGTGGGGGTGGGGTTGGGGGGGCAGAGATGCTCTGCTATGAGCTCACACAGTGCTGGTGGCAGGAAGCGAGCGTCCGCACCAGCTGTCCGCGTGAGCCATTGTGCATCAAGGGCGCGCAGTCAGCAGCGGTGCATTGTGGCAGTACAACAGTACAGCAGTACAGCGGTACAGCGGTGCCGTAGCGCACCTGTCGTGGTCCACCACCTCCAGCCCCGCCTGCAGCACGTACGCCCCCCACCCGCTGCACCCCTCCTCCCCGCTGCTGCTAATGGGGCTGGCAGACACTTGGCTGCAGGGCAGCGGCACAGCAGAGCGGAAGAGTCGAGGGGCAGAGTCGAGGGGCAGGCAAGGCGCAGGCGGGGCCGCCGGTCAGCCGTGCCCGGCCAAACCGTGCCCGCACAAGCAGAGACTTGTGCCTGCGGGCGTGGGCCG